CCAATCAATCAATGTCGGCCACTGGAAGTTAGTTTCATATTTAATGTCCAAACAAATAAGTAAATGTGAAAAGGAGAAGAAAATTCCATTTTTTTTTATTATAGAAGCAAATTTTCTTTTCTTTTAGTTGACATTTTAAAAATTATATGGAAGCGGTTGCGGGTGTTGGTGTTGTGTGATCAAAGTGTGCTGCATTTGGCCAGTTTTCTTCACATGTCTCGGTTGCATGTCAATGTCCGCGTCTCTTTTAATAATCTTCTAATCCAATCAGTGACGTTGTCAACCCATGTTCCCCCTCTCTCCTCTTCTTTTGCTTAAGGTGGTACCTTGTAGAATGGTAGTGTTATGTTGGCGGGGTCATGATCAACATACCTTGTAAACCAACATAACTAGTAAATCAAAATTGAAAAAACCTACCTTCTTCGTAACTATCTCGGCATTAAATACAAAAAAGCGCGCTGCATTGCTATGTGACATTGATTCTCTTATATGGCAGTTAATGCTCGACAATTTTCCCCGGGATGAGGAAAAAAAACCCCAAAAAACAAACAAAAAAAAACGAGAAGGAGCGGAAATGTGTTTCTACAGAAGGATACTGGGAATTCCATAGACGGAGAGAGTAAGCAACAAGGAAGTCAGATTGAAAATGGCAACACAAAACCAGGAAAAGACAGCTGAAATTCCTTGGACACATAATAAAGGAGGAGGTCTTGGAAAACTTGACCCTCACTTGTTAGATATATTGAGCGCAAAAGTTATAGCGGTAGGCAGTAAGTCAATTATCTGACAAGCTTGCGTGAATCGATGGTGGAACTGGAGACGGGGATGAGGCGGAATTAGAAATGGGAAACAACTGCTAAGAGCTCCAATACATAGAATGTTGATTGATAGATTGTTTAACGGCATATCAACTCCTAATAGTCTTTTAATGTCGAAATTTAATTACCTTGGGAACTTCGAAGCTATAAAAATATGATATATGTTATACTTGCACAATTAAACACGTGGTAGATGCTTTTGCGCATATACCTGATTGTGTCGGGCACCTCGACGTGGTGTAATGGTTAGAAGGCGTGTACGGCTAAATCAATTACGACTGGGTAGTGAGTTCGATCCTCACTAGGTGCCTCGTACTTTCGGCCGAGTGCCACATCTAAGCCGGGCTTAGAAAATCACTATACCTGCTTATGTGAGCATAATTATTAGAGTGAGTTCTTTATGTTGTAGTTTTGTTAACATTATATTTCGAAATACGATTTGATTTCTTTAAGAAATTGTAAGATATTATATGGATTAATGTCATGAAAGAGTTCTTTCATGTTAGTTGTTTGGTTCATTTTGTTTAGCGCACATCAACCCCATGGGCTACTTAATGTCGGAATTTAAATATTTTGAACACAATTGCATGGCTTCAGTTAAATATATATTAGACGTAATTGCATGCCTTCAACTATAGATACAATACACTGCTGGTCATTTTGTTTTAAAAATGTATTGTTAGTAATTTTACTCTAAATAGGTATTGATAGTAATGTTACTATAAATATGTATTTTTAGTAGGGGTGGAGAAAACACTTCCACACTTTTTTTTTATAATTTGGTCTATAGAGACCAAATTATAAAAAAAAAAAGGTGAAAGTTTTTTATGCTACTCATTTGTGTCCAAATAGAAGGAAATGAGCCAAATTTTGAAAATCGACATGGAGCCGAATCGAAACATGCCCAGACCTGCCCCCAAATCACTAAGCTCACCCTTATTCTTAATCATGTTACTATAAATATATATTGTTGGTAATTTTTTATATAAAAATGTACTGCTAGTGTTTTTACTATAAAAAATGTATATTTATACTTTCATAGTGCTTTGCTTTTATTTGGTGTTTCACTATTTGCCTATAGATGGCACCCTAACAGGAAATACAAACCCGAGTAAGGGTGGACCTGGGAACAGCAGCATCTAAGAAGTATTTCTACACTTCTTAAAACCATTGATTTTCATATCAAAGGCCTTGCTGCCGGAGGTATTTTATCGTCATACCCAGGAATAGATTGAATATTGTGGAGAGCTGAAAGGACCCGGTATATAAAAAAAGCAGAGAAACCAATATTTTTGCGGTGTATTTTAACGACCACAGAATTGAAGCACCAAGTTAAGTTCGAGAGCGGTTTGCCAAGCGTTGCTCTATGTTCGACGGAAGAAGCAATTACTCCCAAATAAGCTAATCTCGCTATTTCTCCTCAGTAATGTCAATTAAGTCGTTTGCCGAATATAGAACCTGGCTGTCTCGAGCAAGCGTGACTCCCATGTTGGCAATAGGAAAGTTTGGCGAACCTGCTGAACTGCGATATCAATTTGTTATCTTCGAGTTTTTATGGGGATCTACATGGAAAAAGAAGCGTTGTTAACATAAGAGAAAAAGAAAATCCATGTTATTCCCTTTCAGGTAACACGAACTTGCTTGATATTCACGTTTCCATCGCGCATTCAATCAAAACTGGATCCTTTTTCTTTTTTACCAATTCCACGAGAAACAGAGAACGTGCCTCAGTATATCTTTGGGTCTTTGAGTGTTTTTGTGTGTGTACATTTACAAAATTTGGTCCATTTTTCTTTGTTCGGAATTTGAATATACAGGTAAGTATATGCATACACATCTTAATCTCTGTGTCCGCATACGTAAAACACACAAACTGCGTCTATAGAACATCGTTAGATATAAACCCATACACACATATACCAGGTATGTGCAAAAGTTTGGAAAATAAACAAAGAAAGAAATATCTATTTAAAAAAGAAATCAATTCTTTAGTGCATTCATTGGGATTTTATGCACATGCCTAATAATACGAACAGTATTAATCGTATTTAATCAATACCTTAACATACTTCTAAAATCAGCGTGATAACCTATTTCTCTCTCACAACAGTTCATTTACAGAGTGCAATGGGTAAATTATCGCCTTATTATATTTCTAATTTCCCGCATGCACGTTGTTTTTTTATTTTATCCACTGCACAGTATAGTAGGGTCAGTTGGGCACCGTCCGGGAGAAAAAGAACACCATGTCGTAATTCACCCCGTCAGAAAGTTGGAAATGGCATGCTGTACTGCTTGGCATTCGTGACGGGAGCTCCAAATACGAACATTTTAGTGTGTTTAGGCATCAGTGCAGAGGATTCGGAAAGAGTTGGATGAGTCTAATGGTGATTAAGAAGGTACGACATCTTGGAAAACTCACTCTGATAAAAAAGAATACACGAATTTGTTGGCGAGTGCCTCAGACTCAACACGGAGCCCTACATCAAGTGCCTTGAGAAGATAGAGGCTGGCTGCTAGAAGACACTATGTCTGGTAAAAGGATTCTGCACCATGCCACACAAGCAGGAACACCCAGTCATGGCTTTCAGGAAATTTCTCCGACCAAATCAGCTTTTACATTTGGCCGGCTAGTTCCCCAGACTGCACCCCCCACCTTGACAAATTATGTGTGGGGCGCAGTTGACGAGAGACCATCTAAACTCCTTGTAACACAAAAGATGAACTGAAGGCAAGGATTATGGAAGCATTCACCAATTTAAACAAGGAGACCTTCCAGAAAAGGTGCAGGAGATTCCCAAGTCGTATGGAGGCCGTGGTTGAAGCACGTGATTTTATTGAATAAATTATACTCTTTAGTATTTCAAGATATTTTTGTGTAATTTTGGTTAATATATCTGTTAAAATGCGATGTCAGTGATATTTTCATTTTTGCATAAATTAGACGCCAATTTATCCATTGCACCCTGTATAATCTAAATATATAATTTGGTTTTGAATAACATTTCACTTCAAGATGGAAACGAACTTGGTCTTGATAATGGTAATATTATCTGTTTCCTTATAAGGTAACATGCACCTCGGTAGGAAAAGCAGGATCGTTGTTTTTTTTTTATTAGTAGAATCGTTTGAAATGTGGTATGCAAGACGTAAATTATCACTGTTCATTTTTTTCCCATGTCCACTTGCATATGCGCAGGGCATAGATTTAAATATATTAAACAGACTGGGGCACTCATTTCTGCTACCGTCATTGCCGTACTCGAAATGTAAACCGTAATTTGTAAGCAATTAATGGATATTTTAACGCGATTATTTCCTATTCCTTTAAACATTATGTAATAATAAGAAATAGTGTCGGATAAAAATATGTATACTTTTATAATTTACTCTCTATGAGATGTTATTCTATTCATATATATCTATATGTGGGATTCTATTCTATATCTATCTATCTATCTCTACCAGTTCATTTCTACCTATCTATCTATATCTACCAGTTCATTTCTATCTATCTATATCTACCAGTTCATTTCTATCAATCTATCTATCTATCTATCTATACCAGTCCATTTCTATCTATCTATCTATATCTACCAGTTCATTTCTATCTATCTATCTATATCTACCAGTTCATTTCTATCTATCTATATCTACCAGTCCATTTCTATCTATCTATATCTACCAGTTCATTTCTATCTATCTATATCTACCAGTTCAATTCAATCTATCTATCTATTTATCTATCTATCTATCAGTTGGTTTCTATCTATCTATATCTACCAGTTGATTTCTATCTAACTATCTATCAGATTTTATTCTATTCATATCTATCTGTGATATTTTATTCTATTCATATCAATCTATGAGATTTATTCGATTCATATCTATGTATCTGTGATATTTTATTTTCTTCATAGCAATCTTTCGATCTGTGGGCTTTTATTCTATTCATATCTATCTATGAGATTTTAATTTTATCTCTTTCTCCCTCTTTGTCTCTCTTTCTGTTCAGATTGTGGAACTATATATCTTCCCTGAATATACATTTGATATCTGCTGAGTTCATTTTACCATGGTAGAGATTACATCAGTGGATCTAGCAGTACAGATCCAATTACACTTGAAATGGTCTGCAAATTTTGCGAACGAAACATAACTCTGCGACAAGCACCCTGTAACATGTATGCAATGATAATCATTTTTTGCTTTCGATCACAACGTATATATTATTGTAAATATCTATCTATCTATCTATCTATCTCTATCAGTTCATTTTTATCTATCTATCTATCTATCTCTATCAGTTCATTTCTATCTATCTATCTCTACCAGTTCATTTCTATCTATCTATCTATCTATCTATCTATCTATCTCTACCAGTTCATTTCTATCTATCTATCTATCTCTACCAGTTCATTTCAATCTATCTATCTATCTATCTATCTATCTATCTCTACCAGTTCATTTCAATCTATCTATCTATATCTATCTATCTCTACCAGTTCATTTCAATCTATCTATCTATCTATCTATCTCTACCAGTTCATTTCAATCTATCTATCTATCTCTACCAGTTCATTTCTATCTATCTATCTATCTCTACCAGTTCATTTCTATCTATCTATCTATCTATCTATCTATCTATCTATCTCTACCAGTTCATTTCTATCTATCTATCTATCTATCTATCTCTACCAGTTCATTTCAATCTATCTATCTATCTATCTATCTCTACCAGTTCATTTCTATCTATCTATCTATCTATCTCTACCAGTTCATTTCAATCTATCTATCTATCTATCTCTACCAGTTCATTTCAATCTATCTATCTATCTATCTATCTATCTCTACCAGTTCATTTCAATCTATCTATCTATCTATCTATCTCTACCAGTTCATTTCAATCTATCTATCTATCTATCTATCTATCTATCTATTTCAACCAGTTCATTTCAATCTATCTATCCATATCTATCTATCTCTCACCAGTTCATTTCAATCTATCTATCTATCTATCTATCTATCTCCCCAGTTCATTTCAATCCATCCATCCATCCATCTATCTCTACCATCATTCCAATCTATCCATCCATCCATCCATCTATCCCTACCAGTTCATTTCAATCCATCCATCTATCCATCTATCTCTATCCAGTACAGTTCATCTTTTCATCCATCCATCTATCCATCTATCTCTACCAGTTCATTTCAATCTATCCATCTATCCATCTATCTCTACCAGTCCATTTCTTCCATCTATCCATCCATCCATCCATCTATCCATCTATCTCTACCAGTTCATTTCAATCTATCTATCCATCTATCTCCACCAGTTCATTCCCCATCCATCCATCTATCCATCTATCCCCACCAGTTCATTCCCCATCCATCTATCTATCCATCCATCTCTACCAGTTCATTTCATCCATCTATCCATCCATCCATCCCTATCAGTTCATTTATCCATCCATCCATCCCCACCAGTCCATCCCATCTATCCATCCATCCATCCATCTATCAGTTCATTTCCATCCATCCATCTATCTCTCCAGTTCATTTCTATCTATCCATCTATCTATCCATCTCTACCAGTTCATTTTCCATCCATCCATCTATCCATCCATCCCACCTATCTATCTATCATCCATCCATCCATCCATCCCCTACCAGTTCATTTCAATCCATCCATCTATCTATCCCCACCAGTTCATTTCATCCATCCATCCATCCATCCCCACCAGTTCATTCCATCTATCCATCCATCCCCACCAGTCCATTTCCCCATCCATCCATCCCCACCAGTTCATTTCCATCCATCCATCCATCCATCCATCCATCCCCACCAGTATTCATCCCCATCCATCCATCCATCCATCCATCCATCTGTTCCTTTCTATCCATCTCCCCATCCATCCATCCATCTATCTATCAGTCCATCTCCCCATCCATCCATCCATCCATCCATCCCCACCAGTTCATCCCCATCCATCCATCCATCCATCCATCTACCAGTTCATTTCCCCATCCATCCATCCATAAATCCATCCATCCCCACCATCTATCTATCAATCAATCCATCCATCCATCTATCTATCTATCTATCTCCAGTTCATTTCATCCATCTATCTCACCAGTTCATTTCAATCCATCCATCCATCCATCCCTACCAGTTCATTATCCATCTATCCCTACCAGTTCTCAATCCATCCATCCATCCATCTCAAAAGTTCATCTATCTATCATCCATCTATCTCCACCAGTTCATTCAATCCATCCATCCATCCATCCATCCATCCCCACCAGTTCATTTCAATCCATCTATCCATCTATCTCTACCAGTTCATTTCAATCCATCCATCCATCTATCCATCATCCCCACCAGTTCATTTTCCATCCATCCATCCCTCTACCAGTTCATTCATAATCATCCATCCATCCATCTATCTACCAGTCCATTTCAACCATCCATCCATCCATCCCCACCATCCATCTCCAATCTATCCATCCATCCATCCATCTATCAGTTCATCTATCTATCTATCCATCCATCCCTACCAGTTCATTTCTATCCATCCATCCATATCCACCATCCATCTATCTATCCCCATCCATCTATCTCCCACCATCATTTCATCCATCCATCCATCCCCACTATCAGTTCATTTCCATCCATCTATCCATCTATCCATCCATCCCTACCATCTATCATCTATCTATCTATCCATCCATCCATCCATCCATCCATCCCCACCAGTTCATTTCATAATCTATCTATCTATCTATCCATCCATCCATCCATCCATCCATCTATCCATCTCTACCAGTTCATAATCATCCATCCCATCAGTTCATTTTCATCTATCCATCCATCTATCCATCCATCCATCCATCCATTTCTATCCATCCATCCATCCATCCATCCATCCACCAGTTCATTCCCCATCCATCCATCCATCCTATCCATCATCTCATTATCCATCCATCCATCCATCCATCCATCCATCTCTACCAGTTCATTCATCTATCCATCTAATCTATCCATCCTCTACCAGTTCATTATCTATCTATCCTATCTCAATCTATCTATCCATCCATCCCCACCAGTTCATTTCATCCATCTATCCATCCATCCATCTATCCATCCATCCATCCATCCCCACCAGTTCATCCCCATCCATCCATCCATATCCATCCATCTATCCCTACCAGTTCATCCATCCATCTATCTATCTATCTCTACCAGTTCATTTCTATCTATCCATCTATCTCCACCAGTTCATCCATCAATCCATCTCATCTATCCATCTATCTATCCATCCATCTCTACCAGTTCATTCCAATCCATCTATCCATCCATCATCCATCCATCTCCACCAGTTCATTTCAATCTATCCATCTATCCATCTATCTATCTCTACCAGTTCATTTCATCCATCCATCCCAGTTCATATCCATTCATCTATCTATCCATCTATCTATCTATCTATCATCTATCCATCTATCCATCTATCCATCCATAAATCACCAGTTCATTTTCATCTATCCATCTATCTATCTATCTCTACCAGTTCATTTCTATCTATCTATCCATCTATCCATCTTTTTCATTTCAATCTATCTCTACCAGTTCATTTCTATCTATCTATCTATCTATCTATCTCTACCAGTTCATTACTATCTATCTATCTATCTATCTCTACCAGTTCATTTCAATCTATCTATCTATCTATCTATCTATCTATCTATCTATCTACCAGTTCATTTCAATCTATCTATCTATCTATCTATCTCTCACCAGTTCATTTCAATCAATCCATCTATCTATCTATCTATCTCTACCAGTTCATCTATCTATCTATCTATCTATCTATCCAGTTCATTTCTATCCATCATATCTATCTATCTATCATCTATCTCTCACCAGTTCATCTATCTATCCATCTATCTATCTATCTCTCTCATCAGTTCATTTCTATCCATCTATAAATCATCCACCATTTCATTTCATCTACCCATCCATCTATCTATCTCTACCAGTTCATTTCTCATCCATCCATCCATCCATCTCCATCAGTTCATTTCCCATCCATCCATCCATCCATCATTTATCTATCTATCTATCTATCTCTACCAGTTCATATCTATCTATCTATCTCTACCAGTTCATTTTCATCCATCCATCTATCTATCTATCTGAATTCATTCCATCCATCCATCCATCTATCCCCACCAGTTCATTTCATCTATCTATCTATCTATCCATCTATCTCTACCATTCATCAATCTATCCATCCATCCATCTATCTCTATCAGTTCATTTCCATCCATCTATCTCCATCCAGTTCCTATTTCATAATCCATCCATCTATCTATCTATCTATTCATTTCTCTACCCATCCATCCATCCATCCATCCATCCTCACCAGTCATTTAATCTATCCCATCCATCCATCTACCAGTTCATTTCTATCTATCCATCTATCCATCCTCCATCCCCACCAGTCCATCATCCATCCATCTATCTACCAGTTCATATCCCCATCCATCATCCATCCATCCATCACCAGTTCATTTCTATCTATCCATCCATCCATCCATCCAGTTCATTTTTCCATCCATCCATCTATCCATCTATCCATCTATCCATCCATTTCCATCCATCCATCTATCCATCCACCAGTTCTCAATCTATCCATCCATCTATCTCTACCAGTTCATTCCCCATCCATCCATCCATCTCCACCATCATCTATCCATCCATCCATCATCCCACCAGTTCATCCATCTATCTATCTATCTACCTTTCCATCTCATCCATCCATCCCCACCAGTTCATTTCTCATCCATCTATCTATCTATCTACCAGTTCATTTCATCCATCCATCCATAAATCTATCATCATTTCCATCCATCATCTATCAGTTCATTTCTATCTATCATCCATCCATCCATCCATCTATCATCTATACCTTTTCATAATCCATCAATCCATCTATCCATCCATCCATCCATCCATCCCCATCAGTCCATTCATCTATCTATCTATCATCCATCTAGTTCCATCAATCCATCCATCCATCTATATCTCTACCAGTTCATTTCTATCTATCATATCTATCCATCCATCTATCCATCTATCTATCCCCACCAGTTCATATCTATCCATCCATCCATCCATCCATCCATCCCCACCAGTCCATTTCTATCCATCCATCCATCCATCCATCCATCTATCCCTACCAGTTCCCCATCCTATCTATCCCACCAGTTCATTTCTATCCATCCATCTATCCATCCATCTCTACCAGTTCATTTTCTCATCTATCCATCTCTATCCATCCATCTATCATCCATCTATCCAGTTACCATTTCCATCCATCCATCTATCTCTCTACCAGTTCATTTCATCTATCCATCCATCCATCTCCACCAGTTCATTCTATCTATCTATCTATATCTATCTCACCAGTTCATTTCATCTATCTATCTCACCAGTTCATCTATCATCTATCTATCTATCCATCCATCTATCTATCCATCTATCTACCAGTTCATTTTCATCTATCTACCTATCTATCTATCTATCTCTACCAGTTCATTTCTATCTATCTATCTATCTATCTATACCAGTCATTTCTATCTATCTATCTATCTATCTATCTACCAGTTCATTTCTATCTATCCATCTATCTATACCAGTTCATTTCTATCTATCTATCTATCCATATCCATCTATCTATTACCAGTTCATTTCAATCTATCTATCTATCTATCTCTACCAGTTCATTTCTATCTATCTATCTCTACCAGTTCATTTCTATCTATCTATCTATCTCTACCAGTTCATTTCTATCTATCTATCTATCTCTACCAGTTCATTTCTATCTATCTATCTCTACCAGTTCATTTCTATCTATCTATCTATCTATCTATCTCTACCAGTTCATTTTCTATCTATCTATCTATCTATCTATCTATCTCTACCAGTTCATTTCTATCTATCTATCTATCTATCTATCTATCTCTACCAGTTCATTTCTATCTATCTATCTATCTATCTATCTCTACCAGTTCATTTCTATCTATCTATCTATCTATCTATCTATCTCTACCAGTTCATTTCTATCTATCTATCTATCTATCTATCTATCTATCTATCTATCAGTTCTATCTCACCATTTCTATCATCTATCTATCTATCTATCTATCTCATCTATCATCTATCTATCTATCTCTACCAGTTCATTTCATTCTATCTATCTATCTATCTATCTATCTATCTCTACCAGTTCATTTCTATCTATCTATCTATCTATCTATCTATCTATCTCTACCAGTTCATTTCTATCTATCTATCTATCTATCTATCTATCTATCTCTACCAGTTCATTTCTATCTATCTATCTATCTATCTATAACTTGTAAAGATCTAATGAACATTTATCTACGTGCATGTGCGTATCATTGCCGGTTTGTTTATTACTGGAAGATCATTTATTTAGATTTCAAATTAATCTTAATACAGATTTATTTACAGGATTAAAAAAAATGTAAAATTATTTCCAAAATTTTTTTTAAATCATTGAAGCAATAATTATATCAGTTTTACGTTTTTCTCAGCGTGAACATTTTTTTAAAACCAGACGCCTCTTAAATGCAATAGGAAAATGTATTCTTAAATAAATAAAAGTACGTATTCTATTTAACTAAATAATAAGGAATGAATAAATGGCAAAGTAAAGAAAGAATTATCGAGATAAATGTAGTGTTTATCGAATTATTTAATCGCTAAATCGCGTCTACGCAGTGGCAAGTTAAAGATAGGCTTTTCAACCAGAATTGGCTTCCAGTGCAAGGCGTCATTCTTTTTTTATTATTGAAAATTTCTACCAGAAAGATAAAAAAATCTCCTCTAGTTATAAAGAAGCCGATTAACTCCAGTCGGAGCGGAATATATTTTAACACACACATACAAACATATATATATATATATATATATATATATATATGTATAAACACACACACATATATATATATATATATATATATATATACACATATATATACACACATACATACATATATATATATATACACACACATTTATATACACACATATATATATATACACACACACACACACACATATATATATATACGCACGCACATACACACACACACACACACATATATATATATATATGTAAGATGGTGGTGCCAAATTATTAAAATGCGTCATCCCCTAATTGTTATCTGAAATAGAAATGTCGACTGTTTAAAGCTAATTTGGCTACGTTTTAATCAGAAATCATTATAACGGGAAATCATTCATATATTAAATCGACAACCATGACTAACTTTCGCTATAAATAAGTAGATAAATAAAGCAAAAGTTAAAAGGATTGCAAGAGCTTTAAAACTGATCGCCTCCATTTGCAAAAGCTAAAACCGTATGCGACAGCCATTTTGATTTTCGTTACTTGGGGAGGAGTGATGACATCGATATGATTCTGACGCTGCTAATTAATTCTCCTGCGTCTTTCCCTCACAATATCTTAGACAAGACTGAGGTGCGGATGACCGGAGATAAACCTGCGTGCAACATCCGTGAGATTGAAAGTGATTATTGTTATTCTGATTAAAATTCGAAAAACATTCCACCACCTGTCACATGAGTCTAACGATTTATCGAAAGTGGCAGACAGGGACAGTAACCGGTAAGTAGGTAGGCACGCACACGGACATACACGTTTGCGCGTATATATATATATATATATATATATATATATATATATATATATATATAGTTGTATATTTAGGCAGCAATCCCTCCTTTATGCATGTTTCATTAAAAACGACAGACAAGGTACTACGGTTAAGCTTTTTATTTAATTTTTCTTGTGTTCTAACAAGAACTTTCTTTTCTGAACAAAGGGTGTGTAAGAATGTGTCCAAATGTTTTATATTTCCGAGCGCTTTCGGCTATACCTTTAGCCATTATCAAGGATGATTCGATTTTCAGCTTAATTGAGTGTCCGCGTTCTGTGTATGTATCAGTGGGTGATAGGGATGTTTTTTTATTCCCGAATACGGTTAGCACATTGTGGCGTTGTTCGGAGTTAATATTGTTAAGAGTTGGCTTTTTCTTTTTTATTATTAAAGGTTCCATTATTTATAGTCTTTTTTGCAGGTGGATATATATATATATTTTTTTTTTTGCAGGTGGATATATATATATATATATATATATATATATATATATAAGTTCGAGTAGAACGAAATATATGGGCATTTAGTAAGGTTTTGATAAATGTAACGGGAGGTAGAGAATATTGAGCACATATATATATATATATATATATATATATATATATATATATATATATATGACCAAGTCCGACAATTATTTTAAGACATTTTTATGTTTATACATTCTTTTTTATAGATACAAATATTTAAGTAAATGCTCTGTTTTTATAATAAGGCACTTCAGGCTATATGACGGTTCCGTATAGGATACAGGTTCGAATCCTGTCGGAGGACGAAAATTTTCTATGAAAATTTCCCGGACATGCAGGCCGGTAAATGTTGTTTAATACTGTTTATTATAAAAACAGAGCATTTACTTAAATAATTGTATCTATAAAAAGAATGCATAAACATAAAAATGTCTTTTATATATATATATATATATATATATATATATATATATATATATATATATATTATACACTGTTACATTAGAACATGTAAGTAATTACAACAAAATTGTACATTATGTTTCGACGCTTTAATAAAACGTCTCGTCAGGTAATTAACAATAATGGTAATAAACGATCTTATTTAAAATTGCAGTTTATGAAATATCACTTCATTTTACTTTTTGGGAAAAATTTTCCATACAAGGTAAAGTGGATTTTTATAAAGAAAGAAAATAAGAAATCAACCAAAGAAAAAGGAAAGAAAAGAATAGCAAAAGAAAGAATAAGAAATAAACCCTACGCCGAAGAGAATAGACAAAAGAGAAAAACAAAAGAAAGAGAAGAGTATATTCAAAATTACACAGATACGAAGGAAGAGGAAAGTTAAGAAAATAACACGAGAAGATGTTGATGCAAATTAAGCCAATGAAATTATATTGAATAATAGAATTCAAATTTGAACGGAAATGAAACGGCAATAGATACATTGGTTAACAATGTAGCATTTCAAATTTAATGGCATTTTTTAATGAAATCAGATATTCAAACAAAATTATCCATAGAACATAAATAAAGGACACTTGAAGAAGCAATAACAAAACCAAACTTACATTATAAATTAGAATATAAAATGAATTTTAAACTTATATATATATATATATATATATATATATATAGAGAGAGAGAGAGAGAGAGAGAGATTCGGGTAACAATTAACCTTTTAAATATGTATTGCTAAAAAGAGAAATGATATGTAGAGCATAAAACTGAAGATGCACGCAGATATAGTATATACACAGGTAAAAATCCAAGAATTATAAAGACTGTCTCCCAACATAAACAACGACAACAACAAACCTAGACATTGTAGAATATTGGTTAACTTGCAAGTGGTCTGATACACAGGTAGACTGGAATATTTATTGTATGAAATATACAATTGTCGCACATGGCCTAAAAAGGGGGAGGGGTTGAGACTGGTCGACACTATATTATTTTAAACCTAGCTCATCCCATTCACTCATTACAATTTCCACATTCACCATAAAACTCGTCTGTCACCACTCAATCTTCCATACACCACAATACCGCATCCTCTCAAGGGGGATCTACAAAACGCGCCGCATGCCATAAAAAATTAATGATAATAAATTATTATACATAAAAATCTAATAATGAAAAATGAGAGGGGAGGGAAATGAACCCAATAATAAACTAAAAATCAAGACAAAGTCATCTTAACAGAACTGGTGTTAGCAGGGTCCGTTCAACCCTCAAAATGGAGGGGCCGCTGTATTCTGCCCATTGGACAAAATCGAGAGGCTCTCCCGCTAAGGGAGTGGGAAAAGGATTAAAAATTATACAGACATGGGGAAATACACAGATAGACTGGTGTAGTCACTTCAAGTAGAAAAAAAGCAGCACTGAGTAATTTAATGGAGAGAGATATACGGGTGAATTGAGTCCATTCATGCAAATGTGTTGAGCAGGTTCATTCTAGTTAAAGTGGACTAAGGTACTGTCCTATAAATGAGGTAGATTAGTTGGCCCGCCTTTACAGACAGACACAAGGAGGTGGCCATGTTAGAAGGTAAGCCATTTGTCTTTTGCAGTATTCAATCAAGCTATAAAATCTAAATAGTAATAATAATAAAGCATCACGTGACACAAACTCTGAACTGTTGAAAACAGTATATTCTTTCAGCGAATTCAAAAGCACATTTCCATGTTCTATCATGGAACCTGGAATCAGAAATACAATGTCAAAGCCTTGTTGCATAACGCGTATTAATGTACTATGGGAACAAATAGGTAATCCTAAAAAGGTGTATCTCAACTCGATCCATTATGGTGAACGTACGAATGACCTTGGCTATCAACAATCTGTGAAAGTCAACTCATAACGACTCAACATGGGTTTAGTTTTGGTAAAGTGTGTACTGATGACATATAAGCCTACAAAATGTCCATGCAATTACAAACTTATTTAATAGGAAATTTTATACTGGGCTATACTGACCACATCAATAGTCTCCCTTTTCTCATCGATTATAAACCACTTTCTAAGTTCTGACTATGCTGAATATATAGATCTGATAGTGGAAATATAATGGCCTACAAAAACGTAAATGTCTAATAAAACCCCTAAGCAGGAAATAACGGTCTAAAACTATTTAATATTTCCCTAGACTATTCTCCGCGCATATACAGGCACAGATGTAAAGAGACGGTCACTGAACATTTAAGAATTCCATACCACATTGCAAAGAAATCTACGCATCAATAACAGCATTCCTGGTTTTCTTCCAGAGACCAACGCACTGATAATGAAGATGTGTATACGGATAATATGGAATAATGATCTTGAACAAAATAATTAACATCATTCACATAGTGTATCCAAGAAGCAGGACTCGAGATAAAACTTAACAAGACAGAATCAATGATCTGGAATCTGAATAAACGCAGTGATGGTACATACAGTTTATTTCTCATAAACATTTAGGATGTGGAAATAATAAATTATTCAAATAGTTCGGTGTATCGATCAGTTATATGAAATGTATTATAGGAGATAAGGAAATTGAAGATAAAATATACGCTGTACTTGAGGAAGTCTCTTCCAACACCTCAAGATGCTACAAAATCAAGACATTAATTTGAGAAGGAGAGACAAAGAGAATGTGATAGTAAATCCCGCCATGTTATATTTGTAA